TAGGTGGTATAATAAGGTATCATAATTGTGTAAATTGTAAGCAAAACGTAACACATATGGATTAAAGCACATACTATAAAAAAAGCAATTTAAATGTAAATTACTTGTAGTCCTAGTGCCATCTTTGAAAATAGTCTTTTGAAATGGAGGACTGCAGTGCCATGATAGATATGGTACCTGGAAATATTATCTTAAGCCTCCAGTATGCATGGTATCAATTCCAGCAAGATTGGTAGTTGTGTCTACCTTTTACACAAATACCATTGTTTCAAAACAAAACAGCAAAGATTGCAATAAGCTGTAGAGTTTTGGAAACGTCYATAATACTCTCCAATGGTGGAGAGTGCATTGTGGGTATCCAAATCTTAAAATAAGGTTGAATAATAGCCAGTGTCATAATGATGAGCGAGAGTATGACAGGTGCATGGCCACCAAGAATCTTGCTGAACGAATTTAACTCCTTGGGGAAAAGGGTATACATTGGAATCAACACCTTCTACAGTTATTAAACAAGGATTCATGTTATTATTGTCTTTCATAATGGACCACCACATAATTTGAACCGACCCTGACAAGAAGATGACGTCACATAAATGTTTGTGCCAAACAAATAAACGACCAGGATTGACCTCTCTCAAAGTGACCAGGAATGACCTCTCTCAAAGTGACCAGGAATGACCTCTGAGCTTCTTGTGCAACCGTACTGAAATGCTATGTGCTTTAGAGGCGACCACACCGAACCTCACCCTGAAACCCCGACAATGACCAGAAAAAGTGGTCTTGCGAAACAAGCCCCTATTTATATAAGCCGAACAAAACATGTCCTTGAACTCCTTACGAGGTAACATATGAGGTTCACTTTCTTCTTGCTCTAAACCGTAGCCATGACCGCCACTGACCGATCTCTCTAGTCAATCTTAGTGCAAAATAAGTACCACCTATCACGCTTGCTACACCGAAACTGTATCCAACAACAGTCCAAACCTCAACTAACTTGTCAATTTTATCAACATCAGGCCACACATCAAGATCTGCCATCTTTGTAACAGAAGATACAGTTTTTTCTATGCCACTGTAGTAGTTTTTCACTGCTCCTGATGTCCTTTCGCTCTCTTCTTTGACGATTTTGCTGAAAATTCCATTGGGATCCATCTTGGTTTTTGATCGAATATGTTGGGCTCCCTGTGCTGTCTTTCCTTCTAAGGGTGGAGGCCTGAGTCGAGATTTTGTCATTTCTTGTTTCTTTTCATATTCATTCTATCTTTGTTAATGTCTTTTCCCTACAGTTAAATTCAACGTCCCATCTGTGATTCATTGCTACTACATATTAAAACTAAACAAATTCCAGCTGAATTTGCACGTGCAAATTTATGCCGCGTCGGAGAATTCAAAAATGTTCTGCATTTGCACGTGTGAATTTCCCGCGCTTGCGGGAAACTCTAATGAAGTCTCAACCAATCAAGGAGAACCATTAAAACTCCTCCTTCATATCCCCTTCTTTCATTGGCTGATTGTATAATTGATTGACAATTCGAATGCATGCAGATATTCCTACTGCTGAGCAACTTTGCCTCAAATGCAACCACCACAACGGTAAGTAATGAATGTTGCTGTATATTATTTTATATTTTATCTAAATACCTCAGCAATAGTGCTACTTCAAGAAAGTTGAAAATGCTTACATTTAAAATCTATGTCTCCGAAAAAATAAACAAATATTTGCACAAATTCAACGTATGATGACTTTGAACACCGCCATGTGCGCGTGATTGTGTATAGATGTTGTTATTCTAAAGAATAATTGGTAATCTCTGCTCGTTTTCCGTAGCTAAAAAACAGGTCCTTTATTCAAAAATCATTTATCTTTTATTTAAAAAGCATATTTTTATCTAATTCGACGCCGAAGATACCCGCCTGACGCGATTTCAAACGCAGAAGCTTCGCGTGTATTGCGTGTTCATATCATAGAATAATTCCTTCAAAACTTCCCTTTAAAAAACGTAGTGAAAAATTCCTTTTTTAGAGCTATTATTAACATTTTTTTCAATAATTTCCAATTTTATTACAGACATTTTGATAGAACTCTCGGTGAAACGATGCCAGTCAAACTTTTTTGTGCATGTTCTTCAAACACTTATCGCAAACTTTGATCAACCTAAAAAAATATTTTCTCTGAAGTTATATACATTTCATGTATTTGAAGTGGTCTTTCTACGGCCTCAATGTCTTTTTCCATAAAAAGTTGTTGCGCGCCAAACTCTAAAAGTGTCATACTTTTAGAATTTGGCGCGCAAAAACCGAGAAGAATATCGAAAAAGTTAACCATTTTTTATTAATCCATAAAATGCTTGATATCGATGTATGTATTTTTTTCATAGAAAACAGATGAAGACGTCGAAAGAAAGGTTTTAGTTTATGTAGTGCAACACACCTCGAGGAAACCAGATAATACTTTTATATTCTCGTTCGTTCTGCGCCAACTTCTTCAAGGTGCTTGTTGTCTGTGCTGCTATATCGGATGCTATATATTTCAGCTCCTTATTCAAATAGGAGCACATCCCGCCTTAGAATGGAAACAGTGAACTCTTTTTGCTTGTGATGAAGCGAATTCTACTTATTATTGTTGTTTATGCTTCCATTTCGGACATTTCGTCTTTGTAGTCGCAAGTAAAAAGACGATTCATTATCCAAATTCATAGTTTAGGGTAGGAGGTTCTCCGTGCTTTTAAGCACGGAACTAGGGATGTTTATAATTAGGCAAGCTACCACTTTGAATAATCTAGGATGTGGTCACTTTCGGAGACCATGGTTATTTTCGCGGGACCTACTTGAAGAGTTTGAGAGCGAAGGAACAAGATGGAATGGAATTTTGCATTATGGATTTTCGAACAAAATTGCAATTGTTCAACTTAAACTTTGTTTTCCGATCTCTGTGTCCTAGATCCAGATTTCGGTCACTTTTTTACGTGGTCTGGTTGAGCATGCGCAGCATTAGGGCTAGATTTTGTTTGCTGTCCGGTCTGTAGCATGTTTAGCGCTGACCAGCTCGCACCAACAATAACGCAGTAATTTTGATATCCTTTTTGACCATCAAACTGCGGTTTCGAATCCAGTTGTAGGGTACATTATACTAGGAAGACGGCTGTCATATTTCAGTTTTTTTCATTTTTCACTGGATACCATCTGAGTGTGTTCGATTACAACAACAAAAATATCAACAAAAACACCTTCTTTCAAGTATCTTAGTCCAAAGCCTGAAAATCACTTCCCCGAGATGGAGAGAGTCCTTATTGCGTGATCTCCAGATGGGCGTGGCAACACGTTTTTTAAAACGTTAAAACCATGATAACGAATGACGTATTGATGACTTCGAATTCGTATCTCTTAATTTACGCCCCGCTTCTGTTATGACGCAGATGTGCGTGGCCATCAATTTCTGCCTCTTCTGTTTTGATTGTTGCTGCAAGCAGAGAGAAAAACGTTTTGGGAGTGGAGAGGAGGATGAAAAGGCGGGGCGCGGCAAGTAATGCTAGGTAATGGGCTGCCTGTGTACTATCTCAACTTTATTGACCCAATCAGCTTCGAGTATTTTCCCGCCTAAACTCTCAGGTCGCGTCAGGCTGGTCGCATCGCGTGACTCGTCAGTTTTGGTTTGATGTCAAGAGAGTTGGGTGCCGCTCAAAGTTTTGTTGGTTTATTGGATATTTTGGGCTCAATTTATACTTAAATGGTGGAAATATCGTTTCTTACGAATACCTTGACAAGTGGTAAGTTGTTTGCGATGCCTTAAAATCTTTTTAAGAGAACAAAACACGTAACAGCCTTTCATCTTTTTTTTCAGATTCACTGTCAAGGTTGACTCAAAGACAATCTGCGAAAGGTTTGCTTAATTCACTAGAACATTGAATACTTTATAGCTGTCACCTGACAATTATATTTTGTCGTCCATTCTCATATATTCAAAGTTTTAAAACGGTTTTGACAATTTTTTCAGTACTTAAGTTAATAAGCTTTTAAGCTTTGATTTGTCCGAAAAGACTGAAGTCTGTAAAAAAAATATGAACTCATCAACTAGCAATTCTCCAAAAACTCTTTTCAGGCAACAATTAGTTTGGGTATTTGAAAAATGAAGTAAACTTTGCTGCATTTCTCTGTTGAAAACTGCTTGTTCACATTTGGCAAGATTCAAATTAACGCACGGTCTTCCAACTCATTTTTTTACCAAATTTTTGTCAACATTTTATTGAAAGAACAACAGTAAAAACATCCTCAAATSSYTATTTATCATTTCAACACAAGAATACAGCAATTAAGAAGAAATGTTTCTTTCATAATTTCAAAGTTTTCATTCTGACACCAAAGAAAAACACATTKTCAGCAAATTCATGTTCATTGAGTTTATTACAAAATTGCAAAAAATGTYTTTACAATTTATACAGCTATAGAAGCTTGATATGATTTACCTCAAAATTCCATTCAAACTAAAATGAAAAACATTAAACCTAGCTAAGCTCTCACTGTTCAATGAGAAAGTCATTCAGGAATTCAATGTACATTGAAAGTTCATTTGTACAAAACTGCTAAACAAATTATTTTCTGTATCTAAGAACTACAAAATATCAAAACTGTACAATTTGATGAAATAGAATTTTTCATGTGCAGAAWGATGCATTCATTKATTATATAAAATTGTAGGAAACAAGAACTGATGAGAAATAAATGGTTTGATGTGATTTTTGTTGTGCTAAATTATTTGTATCAGTGCAAAACTACATCTCTAAATCTAATATTTAATTATCTATATTAATAACTCAAGTCCAGGATAATTATCCTGACAGAATTGTCTACTACTCTCACTAACTTCTACAGATACTGGATTAAGTTGCAGGTCTAGCTCGGTTAGTTTACTAGCTATGTTACTATGTACAATGTGATGCACCCCTACATCTGTTATGTTATTGTAAGACAGGTCTAGCGAGGTGATGTGGGTGCTGATTAAATGATTACACAAACACTTTACGTGATCATCATTCAAACTACACGACCWCAGCMCCAGTMCAGTGATTGTGGAGTTTGAATGAAGAGATGACAACAATCTATTTAACATGGTAATGGTTATCTGTGAGTTACGAATGTACAATGTGTATGGTGGTGATGATATTGATGTAGCAGTGGATTCTAATAACATAGCGAGTGCATCACAGTCCGTGTCGGTTACACCATCTAATGCAATCCACCCATTACTAGACCAGTATCTGTAGTCACGATTTGTAGTCAGTTCTTGTCGTGTGAATTCTTTCTCTTGGCCGTACTCATGGAGACAGCGCAATAACACAACGCGTTGTCTCCATTCAATATACTCCACTTGTTTACATACAGACTTTAGTACTTTCGACATACATTTATCGTTGTTGTTCTCCTGATCTAAACCCAACAAACCACTCGTGAATATRTGCACCATCTCAGAGGTTTCTTGTGCGGCCATTGCGCGCTTCTTCACCAAATGACAAGCAACAAAAAACTCTTGAATGGTTAAATGTGAGAAACTATACTCAAGAGTTGTTTGTGGGAATGGAGAATCACTGGCAACAGTATAACAAAATATTAAATTACTTGATTTAAGGTAAGATATTTCATTTTCTGGTAATTTTAGCTTTTCTAAATCTTTTTGAGTGAAAGCAAAGCGATTTTGTTCAGCTAACTGTGCGGCTAGTTCAGAAAAGTTATCAAGGGTTTTCTCAACAGCCAGCGAAGC